TTTTAAGTGTGGGAGAGCCATGCTTCGGCACGAATGGGCCGGCTCGACCGGAGTGATACCACGGCCTCACAGAAAACCGACGTGAAGCAACGCTTGCGTTGTGTTTCGTCGTGTGAGTGAGGTTACCGGAGGCCCAATTACCTTCCCCTTCCCCAATCTCCCCAATCCCTGAATCCCCAACGATCCTCAAACTCCTAATCCCCAAAAAGCCGGTAACGCACTTGTAACGCCTCTGGTGTTCCAGGTGTCCATGGGCAACGCCGATTGCTTACCATTAGGTGATCCGTCTATGCCATAAAAAAAATGAACTTAAATAAATAAAAATAAAATCATTTTATTTCATCAACTCGTACTCGTACTCGTACTCGTAGATGTACGTAAAAAAAATTTAGGAAGAACCTTTAAAGCAAGATTATGACGGTGGTATGCGGTAACTTGTCATTTAAAATTGAACATTAAATCTTATGTCATAGTACATATTTTCGTAACGTCAATACATAGAAGCTGTAAACGCACCGCGAATCCCTTACAGATACGCTTATCGCTGTAGAGTTAGCAGTCAGGATGTCAGGTTTTGCATCTAGCATAAAGTGTTCATGCCTAAGTAGGAATGCTACTTACAAAACAAAATTTATTAATGCTTCGTATAATTCATCGATTTTTCTTATTGGATATGCCGATTAACGAGCAAACGGATCACCTAATGGTAAGCATTCGGCGTCGCTTATGAACACCTGGAGCCCCAGAGGCGTTACACAAGTGAGTTACCGGCCTTTTGGGGATCAGGAATTTGAGGATTGTCGATTGGGGGTAATTGGGCCTCCGGTAACCTTACTCACACGACAAAACAAGGCCGTGATGTCACTCCGGTCGTGCCGGCCGATTTGTGCCGAAGCATGGCTCTCCCACACTCAATATACAATACAAGACTAAAGACAATCTAAATAAAGACAATGATACGTTCATCAGTTGTTTACTCGAAGATTAGGCTATTATATTATCGGTTATTATATTCGGATATTCGGAGATTTGGGTAAGTGCATGTTACGCAATTTTTTTCTTTTTGTAAATTAAAGTTTTGTATTGTATAATTGTATGTATATTGTAATAGATGGCGCCCTAATTGTCATGCATTGTGCACAATTCCAGTCTTTGACTTACCTATTACAATTTTGAATTCAAACTGTTGATGTGTTTGGCACGGCAAACGAACCTAAGGAAGCTAGTTCACCCATATCACGGTTTACCCACTGGGGTACCTACAAGGTTTTTATAAACTATGTCTTAACACATCTTCTCAAATATTGTTTTTTGATGTTCAAACGTTTTCTCCAAACTGAATCCTTTACCGGTACCATATTCTATCAACTTATGAAGTTGGTTCAAAATTAGACCTTGAGCGCCATGTTAAAAGCCTATCGCTACCTCTCTCGCACCATTGTCTTCTGCATAAGTGAGTGACAGAGATGGATGCTACATTGAGTCAAAAGCATAGCGGTCAAATATTTTCGACACATAAAGTTGGGGTGCGTCTCACAAAGATTATTTATGGGACCTCTATAAACATTATAGAATTATTAAATTATTTCATAGAAGTGTAAGTAAACTCTTACGTTAAATCTCAAGTTGGATACAATAAAATTGAGACCTTAAACTTGCAGGCCTTAGTTTTTCGAAGTTGCGACCGGTGCTGGTCGATAGGTTGGGGGGAACGGTAGGTAACGTAAATGGGTGTGCTGTACTTTAGGCACAGCCCCTTCTGCCTATGTGTAGTCCTCACTCAGGCAGGAATCTTATATTATGTGCTTTAAGTCTATGTATCGGGTTTATAATTTTGACATTTCCATAACACTCTTGCAGCTCAACTGTTTGTTAATGGAATATTTTCGTGACATCTTCGCAAATGAGAATGGTATTCTTATATGGAATTTCTTTTATAACATAATACTATGTAAAAAATATATTTGTTGGAACTCGGGACCACAGTGAGCAAATACATAGTAAAATGTTGCTTAGATATATAAACAACATTATTGATTTCCCTTATTTCAGTTCCGTAGCTGTCCCATGTTTACTGCGCAAATGCGAGAATATGATGCATTCCCAGCGACCTATTTTAGTAAAATAGGTCAAAATTGACGTCAATGGTGACCTATGTCAGGTGGGTGGGTCCCCCTACCGCCTGTCCTAGTTACCAGCGTTCGAGAGTAGTAGATGATTCCTGGAAATATTCCCTTATATGCCAAAGGTCAAAAAATTGGGGTGGCCCCATCCCCTTGCTACACCCTGCGCTGCGACCCAAATTCAGTACGGTACCCCAGCTTGACATGGTTTACGGCCCCCAAAACGGCCCTGCGCTATCGAATGTTATTGGGTTACTTAATAATATTTTTTGGGGCGGGAATATAAGCGATCTGTTGCGGTACCTATTTACAACAATACTGTTAGAATTTCGAAGGCTCTTCGCACTATAGGTACCTATTATGTGGGACTCATAATAGGTATGAGTGTTGTAGATGTCACCTAACTGTAGATAGGTAATCTATTATGGCACTAGTGTGGATTATATAAACAATATTCATTTTGCTTCCATTGTATCTACTGAGTTCCTTTGTTATCATTTGATAAAATAATAATGTAACTATATTTTTTCTAGGCCTACGTAATTGATAGATGGGTATTGGCACTTATTTACATTTATGTAACTGTAGCACTTCTACCCATTCACCCATTTGGACTAAACAGAGATAATAGAGTTAACGAACACAGTGCAATATACAACTAGAAAAAATACAAATGGCACTATTTCTCCTACCTACCACTCAAGAGAACAAAATACAACCTTATCTATCCCTTTCTCTCACAGCTGTCTCGCTCTCTCAAACGATACCAAACAGCACCTAACGGCTTGTCATACTCGTCGACGCGTGAACCTCATAGCGTGGGAACCAATCCGCATACCCACTGCAGCGAAACTTAGATTAATGAGTTTCGCGGTTATATCGACTCCACCTCCTAATCTCGTCATTCCACCAATCAGAACAGTTGTGGTATATAAGGAATCGGGGTTTTATTTTACTTGATCTTAAGCTACAATTATTAATGTTGCGTAGGAATAGTTGTACGTCTCTTAGAGGTAGAACATTTTAGGACACTTCTAAAGTGACTTATACTTAGTATAGTTTATGTTATAATTTGTTGAGATTTGAAAAAAAAATGGTTGCCTGTAAAGTCGTTTTTACGGGCGAAGATTTTACGTGACAACGTCTTTTTCTCGGTAGAATATTTATTGATATGAATATAATTAAATTGCACAATAGGAACAAGGAATTGAATGAACAAGTGCTGCGCGCGCGGCAGACCGATCATAGTTGAGTGGGAGAGAGACGCAAGGCATTCGGCGGGCCTCTCTCTCGTTCGGTGACTCATCGTAACGTTACCGAGCGTTACACTTTTTCATAAGTGACTCCCAGCCGCAACCTAATTTAAGACGTTGTCACGTCAAAAACGCAACACTAATCCGGTCAGTTTTTGTGTGTAACGCACCGTTTGAAATGCAAAAAAAAAACAGCTTGACCCATCCGGTCAAGCTGTTTTCTTACCATTGATTATAATATAATTATAATGTCTATATGGAATGTCAGTTGACGAAAAGCGGCACAATAACTGTTGACTGCAATGCACTTTCCCGTCAAGTAGTACCTATCAATCGTGTTACCTAGGCGTTACTACGTACACGTAAAAAATAAATTTGTAAACAAAAAAGTACACTGCAAAGATCGCCACAAAAAAATTGTGGTAAAATTATAATGACGGTATAAAAGTGCTAAACAGATCACTTATCCATCGCTAAGTAATTAAAAATTACATTATTCAATTTATGTATTTGACCTAACTAATTGCCGCTATACTTTATCAGTGTTGCCAATTTATTTTCCAATATTCCCTTCTCACGAGTCTCTTAAAGAGGGAAAAATTGACAAAAATATCTCACTGGCTTGTTGAATAAAATAATATTTTTATTGATTATTGAACCAACACTTTTACCTACGCTTTAATGTACTAGTTATTCTTACCGACTAAAATGAAGGTTCGTTTAATTTCCACAGTTATCTCGAAATGATTAAATCGATTTAGTTATATTTTTTGATGGATAGTACGCACACATGCAAGAAATTTTGACACGTCATTTTTGTTGCTATTACCTCTATATGGTGACACTCTACCTAGACATATTTATAATCTAAGTTCTTTACCTGCACTTTGATAATACCTAATATCGCCGGCTCGGTGCTGGCTGGTAAGCTGGGTGCCACGCAACTTATAGCAGGTTCGATTCCCGCACGCGTACGCAGCAACTCTTTGTGTGATCTACAAATTGGTGTTTCGGGTTTGGGTGTCATGTGTACGTGAACTTGTATATTTGTAAATGCACCCCCGACCCAGGAGAAAATCCTAGTGTGGGTATTTGTTTTTTTTTTTAAAAAAAAGAAAACCAAAATAACATAGATAGTGAAAAGTCGGTGTTACATTGTACAGTGGCATAATGTGCACCTCGGCCTACCCCTTCCGGGATAAAAGGCATGATGTTATCTTATGTTATGAAATTCATAACCTATTTAACTCTCATGTAACACTCTACCTGCCCCTTCGACGACTAAGGGCGTGACGTTATATTATATTATATACTGTGCGTCGTATGGCCGCAGGCTAAGAGAGGAGCTCCTAATGTTTCGTTCCCCGTACATTTATGTAACATCTCTCCTATCATCCCAGCACCTTTCTGGCGTAATAGTTTCGTTTGGTCAACTGGGCTTCTTGCAAATAAACCCGTTTTGAGTAAAAAATAAATGGTAAAGTCATGTTTACCGAACATAAGTTTAGCCTCTGAGTCTTACTTAGGCAACTGCTTGCTCTGAGCTACTACTGACAAATTATAGTCGGAAACTGAATATATCCTATAGTATGTACTAATTCTGACCCCAGATTCGAAGCCAAGACCTCTATTCATATTCACATTAATTCACTAACTGTTTCCTGCGACTTCGTTCGCGTAAATTAATTACTTCTGGCAGAATTCATCCGTATTGATTTAGTGCTTAACTGAGATTTTTTGTCTAATGATTTTATCATGGTTTCAAAAATTATAATTACGCAGGGATTTTACTAGTACAGTGCCCGTTCCCGTAATTGTTTTACCGAATCTCTCTAAAATAAATTCAGTGGTTAAGAGATAGAGAGTCCCTGAGAGGCTTTACTGCATAGTTCCCATTCCCCTGGGACTTTAGTGATAAAAACTATCATAGTTACATCGTTTCCCAGGTCTCAAAATATTGTTTTACCGAATTTAAGTTTTTCTAGATTCCATAGATTCAATGGCTAAGAATAATTGTATATTTTACCCCCGTTTTACCCCTTTGGGAGTGGAATTGAACAAAATCCATTCATAGCTAGGTCATAAAATCTACCTGCATGTCGAATTTCAGTCCAATCCGTCCCGTGATTTGGGCTGTGCGTTGATAGATCACTATGTCAGTCACCTTTGAGTTATATATATTTAGTCTTAGTTGCACCACAGAGAGTAGTTATAGTATAAGTTTGACTTAAATTTAACAGTAACTGTCACGCTGACTTTAACAATTACAGAAAAATGTGTTGCACCAGGGAATTCAGTAGCTTTGTTAAAGTTAAAAGTATTGCAAGTCAAGTGGTGTGATTTACCCCAAAGAAAGAAGTAATATTTTTAAACGTGAAAATAATAAAGATAATCGTTCGAATTTCAGTCCACTGCCTTCAGTGGACTGAAATTCTCGATATTTTTTTTATGGTTTCTTTAAGTACGGCGCGTCGCGTTCCGCGCGCGCCTCAAAGAGCCATCAGACCACCACGGATGGGGGGCCCAACAGGGCTGATGCCGATTCGGAGTCGCAGAGAACCTAACGGGTAACCGGGGCTCCAGCTCGTCGTGCAGGAGAAGGAACGGGGTGGTTTTTAGTCAGTAAGAGTCTGACATTCCCTCCCGCCTTACCCAGACGAGAGGACACATTGTTGTGGTGTAAAATCCAAGAATTTTCTTTCCACAATTCTGGCCATTTTCGTCGAACTTGCTCTCTTAAACGCCGCATAACGCTCAAATAATATTCTTTATTTACCGTTTGACCTTCCGGTAAGAATTCAGAG